CGCCACCTGGGCCCAGCTCACCCCCCTGGTTCTATGCTCTTCGACCTTGAGTTTTGTAACTTCCGGCTTCAGTTAACACCAAGCAATAGCAGGGTGGTTTTGGTCGTGCGACCTTTCGTCCTTGTGCTCTTCAGATGGTACCACCTCGTAAGACTCCGTGGGAATGTGAAAGCTTCCAGGATTCACTCACGTCAAAGTTAACGTTACAATTTTTTAGCCATGTAGTAACTAGTACACGCGAGCTTCTCCCGGATTGTTACTGACACCTGCATGAATTTGGCCATGATACAACCTTTTCGCTCTCTCTCTCTCTCTCTCTCTCTCTCTCTCTCTCCATCTCTCCCTTGCTTGGGCGGGGGAAGCGGGTCCCCAACCCCTGCGCACAGGCGCGACGCCCAGTGTCCTTGTCCTGTTCTCGGTGTGAACTTGGGTCTGAGGTCGCGAACTGGACTGGCCTTGTGAACCTCTCGCCCCAGTATGCATGCTTGTGCAAAAACCGCATGCCCATGTCCCGCATAGTCCAGCTCGACCGCTCCGGTTTCCACTCATTTTGGCTGCCTGGTATCCCGTCTGTATGAGGACCAGTGAGCGAGCGCCAGAGCTCGGGGTTTTGTTCCATCTCTCTCACTCTCTCTCTCCCTCTCTTTCCATAAGGGGCGGGTCAGGCCCTCCAGCCTCATGGGCCCCCATATGGGGCGGTCTCTCTCTCTCTCTCTCTCCTTTTGTGTTTTGTCAATGCTCCTCTCTCTCGCTTACGCTTGCTTGCTGGGTGTGTACGGTCTCGAAAAAACCCTTGGCCCGAAGGCCTACCCCTTCGCGGTTCGCACCAGTTAGTACCCGGCGACCAATACCTCTCTCTCTGTCTCTCTCTCTCGCTCTCTCCGGGCTGAACTCTGCTCGCAGACATCATCGCTTCATCTCCTTGAAGAGAGTGGAGGTGCTGCCCGGGGGAAGTCCGGTCAACTCGTCGTAGGCACGCCTGGACACGAGCAGAATGATTCCGCAGAATGGGAGCCTGCTTGATCCCCGCAAATGTACTGTTCAAGGCCACTGCTTGTACTCCGTTTCCAGTCTCTTGGCCCAAAGCAACATGGACAAATCCTGGAAGTGCACGCATGCAAGTCGTCAAACTCGGCCACAACAAGGCACAGCAACAAAAATGGCAGAAGTCCTGCTCTGGATACTGCCCGATGGTGAAAAGTGGCACTGCAAGCACGAGCAGAATGGTCAGGAATGACACCTGGAACCATCGGATCACACATTGTTGTAGCACAAACAAAGCAAGAAATCGAGCCTTCGTGGACAGAGTCATCATCAAACGAGTTGAAAGCTTCTTGGCTTCTGCAGGGTTACTCGACCTGATTCACAAATCGCCTTTGGCAGGCTAAAAACTTCGAGCTGACACCTACTTGCACAACATCCCGAGCCGTTCACATATCCATATTCTTGTCCTTGTCCCTCAAGTAATAGCTCAAGCACTTCATAAGCTTGGACAGACGTCCAACACGAGCACCGACCTCGCACAGCGGAAAGAGACGGCAAGGCTGAAAAAGCACTGGCTATGCACTGCACCACTGTGCTGTGCCTTCGCTGCCCTGGCTGTGCGCATCAGCATAGCATCGACGGACCCGTTGGCAGTTTGCATTTTGCCAAAGCTTCCCAGGAGAGTCGAAATCTCGAAGATCATGGATGCAGTTCCCAATGCATCCATCCAGAAAAAGAACGACCTCCCAACCACAAAGTCTCGCGCTCTTATGCAAAAAAAGGGTCAGGAATATGCATGAGGCAAACACGAGTCCCACAAAGCATGCATTGCGAACGAGTGGCAAAGGATATGTCTTGTAGTCCACGATGCCGTTGACAACCATTTCCATCACAAACAGGATGGTGACTGCTGTCATCAATGTGTCCAGCACCAAGATGCCAGGGTCATCAGGTACATCTATCACGACGAATAACCCCCCACCAAACAATGCGAAGATGAGGCAGGCAACCAGCGTCACCCGAAAGGTCAAGCTCTCTAACACTGGCCTGCACATGCAGAGCGTGATTGGCTCATGTCAACCATCTTCGTTATGCATGGGACGATGCTGCAAACATGCGAGAGTGAGGCTGCATAAATGTCCACCTGAGCCTGCTGGACCACACCACCATGTTGCGCTTGAATGGTCCCTGTCGAGGGTTTCATGCTGCCGCAACGTGCACGAGAAGTCAAGCAAAACTAGTTTGCCTGCTTCTCAGGGATGACTAGGACGAGACCACCTTTGCTGCTGCATCTGATCCAGGGTCCGTGCAAGTGCACCCAACAAGGGACGTCCGAGGCGGCTACCTCCTAGAGAGCGTCTCCTGTCCAAGTGCTGGCTGGCAATCTCAAACCCGATCGCAAGCGACTCGGTCGTGCAGATTCGATGGGCTGGCAAGGCCTGACTGTGCCAAGACCTTCTTTTTTCGAATCATCTGCTTCGGAATGGAAAGCTTCCGCCTGTACGAGCAATTCTTGCACCAATTAGGTGGTTCTCACAACAGTACTGAAAGGTCGTCGACTAAGGCTGCAGCTGGCGCAACGCTTGCCATGAGCGGGAAGCTTGAGGATGAGGGCGGATGGCCAACGCTTGTGCATCTGCCCGCGGCCCACACTAGACTAGCCTCATCCTGAGCCAAATGCGAAAGTGGGGCAGGCCTTGAAACACAGTTGTTGCAGCAGCGCAAACAGCCACCAACGCATACCAAATACCCCACGAATAAGCTGGTGGTGAAAATGCATCGGTGGCTGCGAAAATCATGAAGACAGTCCATACCCGGACGTGCCCGGAAACATCCGGAAACTTCGCGCTTCATGCCTAACTCGGCGTTCTGGCGGCCCATGTGCATGCAGAACGACAGCACATGGGCACAGTTTCGATGAACTGCCAGGTTGCTTCGGAGCCAATTAAAAACTTTAAACAAGGATGAAAACTGAACTCGCGCGGCTATCTCTCCGAAATGCGCCAGCACGAAGCCTTTTAGCCTGTAATCCCTGTCATAGCCGTTGCATCATTCGATGACCAGAGTTGTATCCCCACGGTGAGAAATGCAAGTTTTTTCAATCAAACTCATTATCATGAGGCTCTTGGTGCCGGCCAAGGGAAAGGAAAGAAAGCTGGCGGCAAAGGGGCGGGCGAGACGCAAACGGAACTACTTGCTCCGGATGCTCCCGCCCGGCGCGACTGAGGCCTTTGCACGTGAGCATGACGCTGCTGTGAGTGCATGCTTAGCGACCTTGTTGTCGCAGGACTCCGGGCCTCCGCAGTCTCCGCCTCAGCATTCGCAGCGCCTCGCACAGCTGCCGTTGCAGTATGGAGGCCTGTGTGTGCGCTCAGCAGTCGACGCCGCCCCCGCCGCTTACTGGGCATCCTGGGCGGACTGCTTGCCGACCATTCGAGCAAGAGCGCCGCAGGCAGCCGCTCGTTTGGTTCGTGCACTACAGTCGTCCACCGAAACTGCGCTGCCCCTGTCAGCATCACGGCACGCAGCCGCTTACCTCCCAGAGCAGGCGTACGACGCTCCCGCTTGGGATTCGCTGCTGCAGGCGCGGCCCGCACCGGAGGAACGCGAGTTTGGGGAGTTTCTGCGAGGCTGGTAGCATCGTGCTGCCCGCGCCAGCGACAAGCGTGCGCTTGAGGAGCATCTTTCTCACACTGATGTCGCATCTCGAGCGCTGCTGCTGTCGCAGGCCGGGCCACACGCTGCACGCGCCTTTGCAGTCTTCCCGACCTCAGCCGAGTTGACGGTGCCGTCACCACTCTTCCGCGTCCTGGCCTTACGACGGCTTCGTCTGCCACTGCCAGTCGCGCCGTGCACGTGCTCCTGCCGCGGTCGCCTCGACCCGCTCGGTGACCACAGGGCTGCATGTGCGAATGCCGGCGTGCTCGCGTCTCGCGCCCTTCCTCTCGAGCGGGCGGTGGCGAGAGTGTGCCACGAAGCGGGCGACCCGCGCGCCACGTCCGTCTCGCAGACATGAACCTCGATGTTCCGGTCTCCGATGACTGCCGCATCGAAGTTGTCGCGAACGGGTTGTCGTTGTGGCACGGTGCGCAGCAGGCTGTAAATGCCACCTATCGTCAGCCCTGTGACGCAGGCGGGTGCGGCGCAGCCTGGAGCAGACGTGCACCCCGGGCGAGCGGTCGATACAGCCGCCCGACGCAAACGTCACCAAACCTACCCCGAGCTTGTGTGCGCTCGTCGCTGCCGCTTGGTGGTAGTTGGTGTCGAGGTTGGGGGCCGGTTTGGCGCAGAAGCGGCCACCTAGCTCCGGTTGCTCGCCGGGCAGCGCGCCTCCGACGTGCAGGCTAACATGCGCGGCGTGGGTTGCCCGTTGGTCGGGGCTCCTCGCAGTCGTAGCACAGCGCGCCCTCGCAGCTTCCCTGTTGGAGCTCCCGCTCGCGGGCGAGTGTAACGTTGCTGGGGAGCCGCCGTGTAGCGGAAACTACAGTGGAGCTTGCACGAGCACTCGCAGATCACCTGTTTTCCTCGCTGAGCTGCATGCTTCAGCCTTGAGCCATCAAGGCACCGTCATCTGCACAATCGGTTGCACAGCAGCTAAGCGTGACACCTGCACTTCTGGTCAAGAAAGGCCTCCTAAGGCTTTAGGACTATCGAGACAGTTCCCCCCACTAAGAGTTGACCAGAAGGTGATGTACGCAGTCTCGTACTCTTGAGCGAGACGGGCAGCCGAAGCGGAGTGGCTGCGACGACGATACTTTATATCTTCAGCTCGCTGCTTGAGCTCAGTCGCCACATCGACCAAGCTGAGTTGACCCACTTTGAGGAAGTGTTCGAGCGTACCGTTGCTTTTCATGGGATCAGCCTTGGTCAATGCATCGACCAACATTTTTTGATGGGGCGTCCAGCGCACCATCGACTTGGTGTCTTGCAAATCAAATCTTTCACTATAATGATAATGACTATAATGGCGAGCTCGAGGGCCGATCTCCTGTCTTGGTGGCCCTGTGGGTGCTCCTTCAGCAAGCAGTCGAACAAGCTCTTGGCGTCTGTAACACTGCACTGAGGCCGCAGGTCTTGGCTTCAACGTCTGATCTCATCACCAACATATGGGGACTCAGACTGTTGCGCCAATTTCGAAGCTGAACGTCATGAGAGCAGGCGTCCCTCAGCATGACTTGGAGCCAGTCAGCTTCCGCAAGGCCCTGTAGCATGGCTTGGGTCTCACCCCCAAAGGTGGAGTAGACTTTTCTCTTGAGCTTGCTGCTTCGCCAGCTGATCGGGGAGGCGCGGACCTTCTGATCACCGATCGGCAAGCCCTCGGCTGCCACCACCATCCAGGCACCTTGAGTCGCGTCGGCAGGCAGTCCAAGTTCGTCCGTGGCCTCGTGCTTTGACCCAATGCCACCAGCATCCGAAATGATGATGAAGGCGAAATCGGCCGGATTCATCTTCCAAATCGTCAAAGGTCGCTGAGCCGTGTTCCGAAGATGATTCACACACCGGTTGACCACGAGGGCATCCTCCACCGTTGCCTGATCGAGGCGGCTCGCCATGATGGAGGCCAGTCCACACATCTCGGGACGACACTCCTTCCCAACGCAACTGATGCGGTAGATGGTCGAGCGGAGGGAGGCAAACTCCTCGCGATTTAACTTCTCGGTCCGTGCCGTTCTGCGTTCCTTCGCGAGGTTGATCGGGTGAAGCTGCTCGAGGATGTACTTCTCCTGGTCCACTACGATGCGGTCTTGAAGAACCCGGACTCTCCGGCCGGCATAGTCAGCTTCACTAAGGTCCCACTTTCCGAAGTGGAAGCGGGCCTCTAAAAGCTTGACGGATTTCATCTCGCACGGCAGGAGCGGTCGACACGATGAAGTCGTCGACCTCCACTAACACCTGAGCCTGGTTGACTCCCTTGGAGTCGTGACGAAAGTACCAACAGGGCTCAACCAAGCTGCGAGTGAAATGCATGTCCTCGACAAGGAATCGCGTGACAGTCTCGCGCCAGGCCGCGGGTGCATCATCTAGGCCGTACACCGGAATGTTGATCACAAATAAGCGAGCCTGGTGGCTAATGCAATCCATCGCACGGCTCTGCAAAGAGAGGTCCTCGAGGGCGGCGCAACGGAAGCGACTGGCAGAAGGCATTCTTCACATCGCAAAAGGCGAAGGAGTGGCCCAGGTTGAGACCGCATTGCAGGAATAGCATCAAGGACTCCACCTGAGGAGTTGGGGCATACGTAATGAGCTGTCCCGTGTCTGGATCAGCATGCCCATGGAGGCACCAGCGGCTCTTGGCCTTCCACTGATGAAGATCCCCAGTGGGTTTCTTTCGCCGCACCATCCTCGAACTCAGAATCCTGTCAGGATACTTGGCCCGGAGTCGCTGAGCCTGAGCCCCAGAGGCCACTCGCACGGCCTTCGTCTTCAGAATGGCCTCCCACTCGACCTGGTCGGACTTTAAGAACATCTCCTGCTCGTTCCGCGCGAGCTTCTTGACGTCCACTTCGTCGTTGCGGGTCGCCATGAAGGAGCAGGACTGGTCCTCCAGGTTGAAGGAGAAGAGGGAGGTGAGAAGCTCCTATGAATCGCTCACTTCAAGTCGTCCTCGATTCACCGCCTCAAGCAGAGGGTTCATTGGAGTTCCAGGGGCACGACGACTCGCTAGGGCCGAAGAGGAAGAAGCCGTGGCATCATCAGACGTCGCAGCCACACGCTGGACCTTGTGAGGAGGTCCTTCCTGAGCTGGATCGTGAGGTCCAACAGTCATGTCACTTCTCTCTCCGGAGTCATCCTCATGAATGGGAATCAAAGTCGAGGAAACTTCTGGTTCCTGAGCTTCGAGAACTTACCCTTGAAGACTCAGGAGGCTCCCCGCCTCGCTGAACACGTAGAGGAGCAGCGCCAGGAGGCTCTCCGGCAGGACCTTCTGGAGCACTTCCCAGAGTGCCGTCATGTGGTGGTGGTGTTAGCAGTGGAGGCGGCAATAGACCAGGAGGAACCGGTAGAACTTCTTGAGGAGCTTGCTGAGGTCCAGGTGGTGGAATGCCTGCGGGACCACGGAGATCAGGACCATCCTGGAGTCGATGAACCATTGCCTCATCCTCCTGTGGCGGAGGCCCTTCACGTGCAACATCAACTGCCTTGGCTTGAGAACCGGCAGTAACTTGTCTCAAGAGTTCTCCCAAGCTGGGGTCCGTGGCCAACTGACGACCCATCATCTCAGACGGATCGGCTGATCGAAGCTGCTCGGGCGCACACCTCCATAATCTCGTACGCATTGCCACCCAAACCAAGGACTTAGTCTGGAGAACGACCAGACCAGGACCGACCCAACGGGAAACTGGATGAAGAGGATCTCCGGGCTTCCCACGTCTGTAGACGAAAACCCATTGTCCTTGGTTCCAATGCCGAGCGGGGGTGGACGAAGTCTTCATTGCTCTCTTCACAGCTTCTTTACTGTCGGCCTCCAGAGCAAGCCGCTTGGCCTGTTCTCTGATTTGCATTCTGCGCCGAAACTCAGCTCCCACCTCGTCCAATCCAGCCACGTCATGAAAGGCATCGCCCAGGGCCTGAAGACCTCCCGGATGGGAGGAGAGCAGTTCAGCTGGGACCCTCGGCAGCTCGCCAAACACCAACTGAGCTGGACAATGTCCTCCCGCGTTGTAGAACCGATTCTTGGCGGCCGTCAGACCGGCAAGGAACTCGTCAAGCTCGGAGAGTGATGTCATAGTACAGCGTCCGCCAGTGATCTCCATCTTGATGCGGTCCTTGAGCCATCTGCTTTGCTGTTGGCCCAGGGGCTCTCGGGAGCAACAACATGTTGCAGAGTCCCCAGCTGCTCCAATCCTCTCTCGAAAACCCCGCGAAACTCGCTGCCCCCGTCGCAGCTGAGCAGCGAGGGTGGTCCGAGAAACCGAACCCAGGAGTTCATGAAGGCGCCCCAGACGGCACTTGCTGAGGGCGTTCCTGAAGAGTCAGTCTCGATGCGCTGCACGACGTGATAAGAAGTTCCACAACATGTTGAGCACGGGAATGGAGCGGTCGAGGAACCTGAGATAGAAAACGTCCGCCGAGAGGACACGGTTGAACGAGAAAATACGAGGACACTGTGCCTTTCTTCGATGATCTGCATGTCGACGCACGTTGCAATCATCACATTGAAATTCTTCTCGAGCGTATCGAAGAACTTGGGGCAGAGCTCCTGCGGCCTTGAGAGTTCTCAGGAAACGGTGTAGAGGAGGATGTCCGGTGTTCACATGCACCTTCCGGACCATGGCTTTCTGAGCTTCAGTAAGCCTGGCACTCGACTGCTCGGAGGACTGCGCCTCCGGTGGGGGTTCGTCCTCAATCTCCTCAAGCTCTTCTGAGACAACAGGAAAGCAGGGATGAGCAATTCTCGCTGCGCCGGAGGCCTGGCCTCGAGCCGCGAAGATCACCTGTCTGTTCCAAAACGAGGCGGCCGAAGACGAGGTGAGACTGGCCGCTGCCGAGGAACCTGCCTTGAAGCCATAGTCGCTAAGCACCCGGGTCATCTCCTCGGTCTCCTTGGGCGTGGCGCGCAGGAGGTAGCCTGTGATGGACCAGCGAGCTCCTTGAAATGCTTCGGCACCATGAAGTTTTCGAGAATCGAAGTTCACAACCTTTCCACGGTGAGCCCAAGTACGGCCTCGAACCCACTTTCCACGCTCGTCCCGGCGGTAAAGAGGTCCATTGGCATCCTCAATCCACAGCTGACCGCCGGAGAACTTCCCCAGAGCAATGGAGCTGTTGAGGCCCACGTTATTGATGTCGCAATGAAGCCCCGGACTGGAGTTCTTGCTGATTGTAATCGAGGACCTTGGGTTCTTTGCTCCGTGGAAATCGAGGAACTCGCTCAGGTAGAGTGTCAGCTGCTGATGATATCCAGACACTCCTCCATGTACAAACTTCCCCAGGGTGCGATAGCCATCGTTGTTCCAGATCTTATTCCTACCGGAGGTGGCTGTCTCCGAGCTCCAGGAAGTAGCATCCAGAAGCCTCAAGCAGGCCGAACGAGAGTAGTTTCGAGCCAGACGTAGATGATAGGCCTGAGCTTCCGAGGGCGAAAGCCGCGCCTTCTCTTCCGGACGAAGTGGCTCGAAGGTAGTAGCAAAGATCTTCTTGTCCGCGACCTCCTCGGGAAGGTTGACCAAGGTCCTGCCCAAGGTCGGCTCATTTGTGATCATCGTCCAGCCACCATCATCAGCCAAAACGGCTCGGACCACCTTCGCTGAACCTCCAATCCCGCTCGGAGCACTTGCGGGAGGCGGAACATCCACCACCTGCAGCCCACACTTGTCGAGTTCATACTCAAGGGCCTTCAGCGCTGTCGCCCCGATAATGTCCTGGGTCGCACCGATGTCGACAAGGGCCATCGCAGAGGGGATTGTCAGGAAGTCCCCAGTCGAAGTTGTTACTCCCGTCGCGAAGGAGCATCCATGGAATCGGTGAACCCACGTCATAAAAGAAGAAGAAGCCGAAGAGTCCTGGTAGAAGATCTCGTTCCCGAGGTAGCAAAAGCCGGAGACATGTGCCGCCACATCGCCGCCACCCTGACGCTGGGTGGGACATTCTGCCGACCAGTGTCCCTTCTTGTGGCATAGGCGACACTTTGTGATCTTCTTGAGCTCCTCGACAGACATCTTCCCGCGGCGTTGCGAGAACCGCGGCCTCTGACCAGGAACTCCTCCATATTGTCCGCGTGGAGCTTCACCAGAATGGCCAGGACCTTTCACAAAAGATCCTCGATCTTTCCTGGCCTCGGCTTTGTACTTCTTGTTCTCCTTCCAGCTCCGGCGTCTCTTGAAGCCCTTAGCGTCGAGCGTGGCCAGAACCCAGGACACCTGCTCCTCATCCATGTCAAGATTAGCAAGGTCCGTGAAGAACTGCTCCGGAAGGCCTTCGTCACCGTCGTCGGACTCGGAGGTCTCGTCGTCCTCGTCCTGAGGTTTTTCGCCGCCATCAGCCAGGAAGTTGCCCTCGGCTTGCTCAAGCTGAACAAAACCATTCAACCGATCGTGACGAACATCAAGTCGGGCCAGAGACGTGGCCACGTAGTCCACGTCGCTCTCCCGGCCGTGGATCAGAGTGGTGAGGTTCTGCTGAGTCTGCTCCGAGATGTTGGCTCCCTCTCGCAGAAGAGTCGCCTTGAACTTTTCGGGGATCTGGATTCCGTGGTTGGCTGCCTAGTCGCGGATTCGTCTCATGGCATACTGGCCCAGGGTCTCGTCCTTCTTACGACCACCATCATACATGATGGTCCTGAAAGCGTGACGTCGCTCATCATCCTCTCGAACACCGGCCTTCAACTCAAGCACGGAGAGAAATCTCATTCTCAGCCTTGTACCGGGCATCAATGCGGGCACGCCGCCGCACCATAATGGCCCGACCCCATGCCACCGCTGACAAGCGATCTGGGGTACCCAACTCATGCATCAGAACCACGCGGGGAGCTGATGTGCATCCAAGAATCTTTCGGAACCAAGAGGCCTGCATTGCATTAATCTGCTTTTCGAAGAACGGAACCTGGACTGTAAGCTCAATTGCATGAGCTACTGACGGCAGCATCCTTGTACGCACGGCTAGGAGAAGCGCATGCATCGGAAACCCCGCCGAAGAAAGTTCTGCCAGCAGGATGTGCATTTTCATAGCGCCACGAGCAAGGATGCACTGGAGGTGTGCTCTTCCATCGAACTGGGTACCCAAGGACACTCCGAGTTGAATGTGAGAATCCACAAACTCGACAGGGGAGCCTTGAAGCATAAGCGGCTTCATTTTTGGAAAGGCATGTGCCAAGATACAGTTCTTTCCTTCCTTGTAGACGTACTGGTCGGTGGATGCCGCTTCACTCAGGACATGGATCGCAGCAGCCGCATGGCCAAGCGACGCCACAGGAACCCGAGTATCATCGACGAAGCTGCGTAACCCACGACGAACAGAGGAAGCCATATCAAGCAATAGCAGTCTCACAGAATCATTGGGAGCTGAGTTCATGGCTTGCGACCACGACATGGTAGCATCACATACCATGGAGCACAGCATGGCCGCTGAGTCAGTGTCATAGCTGCCGTCCGCAGAGCCATCCGCGAACGCGTGGAAGGCTCAGACCGCCTCCATTGGGGGATTAAGACCAATGCCTGTCATGCGGGCCTCAGCAAGCTTGCCAAGGTTTGCTTGCGCTAAGCAAAATTGGAGCGGAGACAGCTTCCGCCCCTCGATTGTACCAACACCAATGCTGAAGCAGGCTGAGCGAGAACCACATTTCACAATGCTCATGCGCGTTGATTGAAGGAGCTCGTCTGCGATGAGCCAAGAAGAAGGGCAGGAGATCAACTGGTGCAAGTTCGCGAGGATTGGTGTCCGCCACTGCGTGTCGAAGGCCTCACGCCGATCGGTGAAGACAAGACCAAAAGGTAGCCCCAAAGATTTTCGCAGAGAGGAGGCTGCGAGGTCCGAGGCCACCACAATGAGCGACTCGGAGCGCCCCTCCTGCAGTGCGCCAACATGCTGCCACAGGTGAGGCTCCGACTGCATCCATATCTCTTCTAGTAAGCGACCTTGCGCTAGTATTCGATAGGAAGAGAAGGCTTGGGGATCACGTTTGGGCTTGCGCACGTGATATAGGTCTTGCGTGGTCCAAAGCTTGGGAACCATGCCCAACATAAACGCCAAGGAGTGCAGTGAAAGGACAAAGGCTCGCATGTGAGGAGCCTCAGCAAGGACAGCCACATAAGGAAGGCCCCGACACTCCGCCTGAGCATCAATACCACCGCATGCCCGCTCAAAGGACTCGTCAGTCATAAAGTCTGGTACGCGGACTTGGGCCCAATGTTGCTCACGCATGCGGCATCTGAGAGCATCAAGCGCTGCATCGGCCTTGACTCGGTGAACAGGATCGGCAGTCTCAGGAACACACTGGAAGCCTCGAATATAGTCACATGCTCCTTCCAGCAAGTCAGGGCCAGTGATGACCAAGCCATTGGTAGACACCATGTAGTCCGGAAGACCCAACGTAGGTCGACGGAGGCATCTGGCCAGGAAGGACTCAGCGGAGGAGGACTGTCGTTGACAGAGGTCAACATAAGTTCTCGACCGGCAGTCTTGAAGAGCATGTTTGTGCGACGAAACAGCACTGCGAAACTCAGATCTTTTAATCTCGACTTTCATCAAGGTCTCCAAGTTGCTGGGATGTCTTGCATGCTCAGTGCACGCGGACAGGAGGCTCTGAAAGGCCTCTCGGACAGGTGGAGGTGCCTGTGGCTTGCGGTCCATTGGACGGAGGAGCACCAATCCGGAGGCATACCCAACCAAGGTAAGGAGCGTTTCCCAAACAGCAGCCGCAAGATTCAGGAATCTTCGGCACACACGGCTTCCAGCAAGCTGCCATGAAGCTGGGCATTGGCACGCAGAAGAGATGTCCAGGTACAGGTCGCGAAACAACGGGTCAATCAAGACACATACCGCAACTGTCCAAGAATCCATGTCCTTGACGAATCTTGCCTTGAAGGACGGTGAGGGGGTGTGCCTTCTCATAAAAGCATTGAATGTGAAGGGAAAATGGTCCAGATCTTGAGAGCCCACAAGGGAGCCCAAGTCGCCACAAGCTGGATTCTCACAACCACAGGGCCGACAGTCGCTGCCATCATGTAGGGCCAATCCCGGTACGGCTGCACCGTGTTCTGCCCAGACATAGTCAAGCACCCCGCCTTTGATGTGGGTGCTTTTTTCTGGGTCAGAC